AGAGAGAGAGAGAGAGAGAGAGAGAGAGAGAGAGAGAGAGAGAGAGAGAGAGAGAGAGAGAGAGAGACGGACGAACGGATGGACGGACGGATGAACGGACGGACGGACGGACAAACAGACAGACAGACAGAAAGAACGCCAGAGATTGCAATCGCATCAATTAAGTTCTCGGCCCATGATTTCTGCATTATTGCCTGATTTGCAATCCTGGGAACGAGTGGACCACGAGTTGGTGTAACTTGTTAAAAGCGCGGACTCTAAATCCCCGACCGAATTCAAATTATCGGAAGTAGAAATTCTTTGTGTAAATTGTTAACTCTTTTCACAATCTTAGTCATGGCTGCCCGCAGTGCCCGCAAACGATCCTAATCCATGTCCTCATTCACCACCAGAATTGAATCTTGGCTTCTGATCAGCTTCACAACCTCCAGCTGAATCTCCAAGACCTCCATCCTCCCACTTCTATACATCCCCTGCTGCTGCATTGGCCGCTGTCTATATAGTATATGCCATATGGTATGCATAGCTTATTACTGTGTCAGATCCATGGTGTCCAGCCCTCATACATATTGCACAGATTGTCGATGCTTGTTGCCTGTCGGATAAGATGATCCACATGGTCCTTGACGGAAAACCTCCTGCAAAACAGAAAAGTTGAGAAAACACGCAGAAGGATATATAAGCAGTGATTCTTGTTTTCATTTCTTTTCTTTCATCACGAATCATCAGCGTTGAAACAATTGCAATGTCAGTCAGAAGCCAACATCATAAAGAATATTGAGAGTTTGAACCGTAAAGAGTTGAGCGTTAAATATTATCCACAGAGATCTTCCCCCGCTAGCATCTGCACAAGACTAAGGGGGGCGCTCGCCGCACCTCTTTGCCAAACGCCAACATTTTGAATGTATCAGGACGAACGACTGGTCCAGATGCCTTCAAAATGTTGGTGTTTGGCGAATGGTGCGGTGAGCCCCTGACGCTCGTTTGCGAATGTCCATCATACCTTACCTTCATAGGGTAGTTGTTTGGGCGTGTGCAAGCGTGGGGTAGAAGCGGGGGAGAGGGGAGAGGAGGGGATGCATGTGGTGGTCTACGAGCAGTGTTTATAGCCTGCAGAGATTGCACCGTTAGGTCCATTACAGTTGCCCGACCATTTTTCGCAACAGGAATGCGTAGGCTATGTGCACCTGCCCAGACTGGAAAGTGCATATTAAGGAAAAAACAAAGAATGAATCAAGCTTGCACTCAAAACCAGCAGAATAATCACTTCAATGAAGTTCAATCCAACGAGTTCGCACTCAAAACCAGCAGCAGAATCACTTCAAGAACATACATAACGAAATCTGACGACATATGTGGTTGTCTTTGTTCACAGAGCCTTCTTTGCATTTGTCCCTACAATGTCTTATAAGTAATAATCCTTGTTGTTTCATGATATAAGCTCCGGCGGGGGTCAGTTAGATGAGAGGAGAGGAAAATGCGGAAATTGTGGAGGGGTCGGGAAGGGGTTGATCTGTCTAGTGAGATGAGTACCTGGCGTTATCGACTTCAATGCCTTCCAGCTTTGCATTCACTCTTTTCAAAACCGCCACAGCATACTCATTTCGCTCTTCGTGATCCAATAGTCGGTGTAGTAGGTTCACAAGCAAAGCAAGCACCACCAAACAACCAGAGGACATCTTGCAATCAGAGATCACCCAATCCAATCGAGTACTACCTCCAAGTTATAAATGAAACTCGCACCACAAAACGGCTACAGCCTTACGCCCGGGTGTTAGATTCAAGAAGTTGATTCATCTTACCATCGAAAAGACGTGTACTTCCTCCCCCCCCCCCCCCCACTTACCGTCCCTTCACATACATCACGCGGGAGTTATATTTGAATAGAATGTCTGGGGGTTATACTTCAATGTGATATTGGTAGAATGCCCGTAGGGGGGTGGAAGGGGCCTGAGGGGGTATATACATGAAGTTTGAAGGGGGGTCGAAAGGGGTTTTAGCTTTTAACTTCAAAGGCGTGTGCCTTAGCTTAGATTGTTTCTTTTTTTTTTTTTTTAAATCTAACTAAGACTAACTTCAAATTAGTGAGAAAAATTCTGAAGTGACTTAATAGAAGTTAATTCCTGATGCCTGCTAACAAATGATCGGCTAATAGACAACACGTTTGGAACAAAAAGGGTTGGCACTTCCCTGGTGCAGGCTATGCATAGAATCCTTGCCTTCCAGAAAATGGCCTGAAACCATAGGACGTATGTTTCTGCAGTGCGCAGCAGCGATATGGCTGTAGAGATGGTGGGACCGCCTCTGGAGACGAATAGGCGCCTCACGGCCATGACCTTGGGACTGGAGAGCGCTTCTCTGCGAAGCATGGGCCCCAGTACAGGCCACCACCTTTGAGAAGAACATGTTTAAAGTGGGACGCCGTGCCCATTATCTGGGCTACCTGTCGGCGTCGGTGCACATTGGAAATGGAAGGGGTATGCCGCCGGGATGGTACGGAGTTTATTAACTCGATAAATGAACAAGTACAAGAAGATATTACTATCCAATGGGAAAGAGTCGAACAGAAGACATCTTTTTTACACTCTAAAGTTCTAAACAGGAAATCAGACAAATCATTGAGAGCTTCTCAAAAGACTGGCTGGGCGGGGAACAAGGAGGGTGGATTGCAAGGGTGGAGTGGAAAGGGAGGGAGAGGAGGGGGGGGGGGATGTTGTAGGAGACGGGGAAAGAGATTACCATCTATGTTTTCAAGAGTGGAGGAAGATTGACCCCTCCTCCCCGACTCGGCCCGCTTCGGATTTTGTCGACCTTACCTTTTCCCTCCCCCACCTCAGGCTTTGGTAGGCATGGATTGGTATGGGGGGTAGTGGATAAAATGGGTGTTCTGGGATATACCCAGAAAAGTCTATCCTTCTAAACGGGGTCGAAGGTCTGCTGGATGGCACAAGAGAGGGGGCAAGAAGGAACTGCAGTTATAGCCTTCATCCAAGACTAAACGGAGGTAAAATAGGCTGGTGAGGGGAGGGGGGAGGGAGGAACTTGTTTGTAGATGTAGGTATCTGGCGCCTGGTTCAGGGCGAAGAGGTTCCCCCCCTAACCCCTAAAACTTCCTGCTCAGTCAATCCCTTGGTCTCCAAGGTAATCAATGCTGGAAGAAGTCTCCCACTTGCTTTCCTTTCCAAGTTCTGTTCCAGATTCGGTCTGTGTAAGGGACGCTGGACCCGTTTTCCAGCAGGTGAAGCTCCCCACCAATAGATGGAGCCTCTCCCCAGGTGCCAGTGGTGTCTGCTCTTACCAGCATCACTAGCACTGAAGAGGGCGGTTGAGCAGCATAATTGGTTGAACGATGAGATCCTTTAAATCCCACTGAACAAGAAGAGGACCAAGATTTGATGTCTCCGAAAGAATCTCTTATGGTACACCAATAGATGGAGCCTCTCCCCAGACGCTAGTGGTGTCTGCTCTTATCAGCATCACTAACCCCGGTGTTACTTTGAAGTTGATTGAATGTAAGCAATACTGTGTTTTGTTTGCATGACATTTTTTACAATGTTTTTATGGAAAATAACCGCAGTTCTTTTTTTCAGATTGGGGAACCTGATGTATACGAGCCTATTACGAGGCATATTACACAGCATAATTTTAGTTACACACACACACACACACACACACACACACACACACACACACACACACACACACACACACACACACACAAGCCATGCACTTTTCAACCAACGTTGGGGCTGTCGACATACTGACACACTGCCTTATCTCTACTTTGCACTCAAAAGCACACAAATCTCCACCTGCCGTCCGTCCGATTTGTTGGAGTTACACACAGCGAAACCACCTTTCCTGATCTGCACCTTGCACAACATCTCACCGACCTTCGGTTACGGACCTGCACAGCAGGCCCCCTCATAAGCCTCTTGCAAGTACTACAATGGCCTCCCGCTCACTTAGCTACACCCTTCAAGGTGTGATAAAGTCCCTGCGCAGTAAGGATAATGAGCTTTATCAAGAAAGTGGTGTACGGCGTTGCTGGATCGTGCAAAGTGCTGAGGAAGTCGTTCTCGATCTCAAGCAGAATGCACAATCCCTTCGAGGCTGTACACCGCATACAGCAGACTTTACAACTATGTACACGAACCTGCCACACGACAGGATTCTTAACAATGTTCTGAATGCTGTTCGTGAAGCACATGATTATGCTTCGGGGCGGATCTCACAGGGCAGAAGGCCAGTACAGATGTACATGACCGTGGGAGGTCCTCATTGTGGGGAGTGGGTTGCTTCACATGGGTCAGACACCCTCTCGGTGCCAGAAATAGAGCAACATCTGCGGTTCGTGGTCTCTAATACTTATCTTTATATGAGGGATGACACTCTGCGCCATCAGGTGGTCGGTATCCCTATGGGCACTAACGTCGGACCAGAAATTGCCAACCTCACGCTTTGTTGGGATGAAGCACAGTTCATTGATGAGCTTCGTCAGCAAGATCTGCATGCTGCGAAAGGATATGCATTCACATTCCGGTTCATTTGTGACATTCTATCCTGGAAGACATCACCACCGTCTCCTGCTCGGTATGGTCTTGAGTGGAAAGACACTAACTACCGAGCAAGATGGGTCATGTCTTTTCCTTGGGGCAAGAATCCTGGTTCGGCCTGATGGCTCATTTCGCATTGACGTATTTGAAAAGGCCGAGGCCTGAACGTTCCCTGTCATATGTTATCCCAGTGCTTCCTCCAATGCCCCGGCTCATCAGCCTGCAGGTGTGCTCACGGGACAAGTAACGAGATTCAAACATATATGTAACAATACCACCGACTTCAAAGCGTCAGTGACTTCCCTGACACGACGTATGCTTGTCAGGGGCCATCCTCCCAGTGTCCTGGCTAGAGGCTAGACTGCATATGTGCATGGGCAGCAGCGCCAGCTACCGACTCATGTCATACGATTTTCGAACTGGTTTCACCGCATGGTTCGCTGGGCAATTGCTCACCCACTCCCGAAAGCTGATTCTGTGCGCAGGTCCTCCACCCAACCCCACAGAAGAGACCACCACTCACCGCCTGACACCAACGTTGACCGCAGCCAGCATCAGCCCTCCACACAATCAAATGCAGCCGGCCCGCCTTCCCCTGTTATCCCTACTGACATGGCAGACGCTAATGTGGATACGCCAACTCAGCCAGAGACCATGCCAGCCGCAATAAACAATGTAAACGTTACCGAAGTGGCTGTGTAAGGGATGAAGGCCAGCATCCTACCAATACGGCGACTGTTGCTGCTGCTGCTGAAGCCTCCACAACCACAGCCACCCCCCCCCCCCCCCCCCCCCCCCCCCCCCCCCCCCCCCCCCCCCCGCCATCACTGCCATCATCATCAGCACCACCACCACCATCATCACCGCCACCCCCACCGACGCCCTCTATTGCAGCATCCTCTCAGTCATCTGCCTCTTCTTCTTCTTCCTCTTCCCTCTTCTTCTTCTTCCTCTTCCCCTACTTCTTCCTCTTCTCCTTCTTCCTCCCCTCCCTCTGATACTTCCTCATCATCGACATCATCATCAATGAACTCATGGTCAGATCGGCCGTCACAAAGGTCCTGTCGGCCGAGGCATCCGCTGTCAGATTGATCGTTACATATACCTCTTTGGCGGAGACGTTCCCCATCTCCACCACAGCCTCCCAGACAGCGGCCTCCTTTGTCGTTGAATGACATGATCAAGATCTGCTCCGACGACATGCTCACAACCGTATGGAACGACATCGTCGCTTTCAATATACACTAGCGAGGAATAGTGCACATTGAGTCCGATGCCCACAATGTGGCAATGATTTCTTCAGTGCTGCAGGCTTGTGAGCGCACCAGACACGAGGTGCAGGTACTTGTGCAGCATTTGCACGGCTAGCAGCCGCCCTGAGCACAAGTGTGGCTGATCAGCTCCTGATTCCCACATCTGGTCCACCCAGTTCTCACCCACCTGACCCGCCCCTCTCCCATCCACCTAGCACCGTGCCATCTGCCCGGAGGACGACAGCACTGCACGTGGTGTGAACATAGAAGTCCTGGCTATGGCATTTATAGATAGGCGACTGCAATTCCAGCCTGCTCCGCAAAACCACTTGCCAGGCAGGGATCCGAATATTCGGGCATATATCTTATATCGTCCAGGTCATTTCAGTGCTCTTACCTTTGCAGATAATTCACAGACCCTGTGGGACAATGGCGGTAGGGTGCACACAGTGGGAATATTAAATCTTTCTATCACCAAGTGCTGGAGGATCATTTAAGTCTGGCTCATCCATAAGGAACAGTATGTCGTTGAGCACTTGCAAGCACTGCACCCCCCGGAGAGCAATCTGGCTGATTCTACCACAAACAGTGAAAAGACCTCTCCAGAGGATGGTGGCTGCGCCCTCCCATTTGCGAGGATTCTGAGTCCTCGGCACGCTGAAGGGGCCCTGTTGCAAATGTGGCCGCCCTAAGTGAAGGCGGGCCTAACAAATCACGAGAGGCCCTAAGCTGTGAATATCGTATTTGGGGTCCAGGCAGTTTCGTCGCGCCAGTTAGTTGAGGGAAACACAGGCCGAGCAGCGAGACATTCCACGGCCTTCCAGGCCTTTCCAAGATAATGCAGGCGCTGGACGAGAATTGCAGGCTCATACAAAGACAGTTCGGAGGCCCAACCGAATGAGGCCCAGTAGCTGTAACAGAGGCGCAGCATCCTGGGGCCTACCGGAAGCTTCTGGGCCCAGGCCCAGGCCAGCCAGGCTGCGAAGGCACGCAGGCTCTTTCCATATAGGAAAGAGCCCGCTGCCTGAAGCCTCATTCAGCACTTGCATGCTGGCGGCAACGCTGCTGGAGCGGAAGCTCGTGGGCTGCTACTGGCGCTGAGAGGCAAGGTGCTAGCGTGTGCGGTCGTGCAGGGAACAGGGCGCTGCTGAGGGCAGTGCCATAGCCCAGCCTCCATAGCTGGACGGGCTTGGACTACAGTGAGGCGCAGGGGTGGTCTTCGGGTGTACAGGGGGAAGACGTGGGTGTAAGTCAGGGAAGAGAGAGAAGGATGATGATGATGATGATGTGAGGGCACATACCTGGTATTGGCGATGGTCTGCATTTGGGCGACATCTTCAAGTACTTTGTGGGCTGCTGACGTCAACAGTTGCATTGCCAATTAGTAGGCAGACTGTAGCTGTGTAGGAAGTAGGCTGGGCCGAGCGCCAAGTAGGGAGATAGGGCCTGGACACTCATGTTGGTGGTGGCTAGAGCAAGCTCTCATTGACATTGGTTTTCAGTGTTACGATTCTTCATTGGTGTTATATCCGTGCATTTCTGCTTTCTGGACACTGTGATACTATCTGGCCTTCAATGTGATTGTGTACTCTGGACATTGTCATCTCGCTATTGCTCATTTTCCTTGCACATTCATCTGATCAGACTTTTTTTAGTTCATCTGATTCCTTCAGGATTTCAACTTGGTCTGTTGATAAACATGTACATGGGGGTTTACCATTTTTACCATTTAGCCACACAAGCAGCTCACCTCTTTTCACATGCGTACCCTGACCTGCAGCCACGCCTGCAGGCTCAAGCGGACTTCCTGTGCTTCCGCCGCCACTTCGCCCTTTGCTCTGTCGCTGGCCGCCAATCGCACCACCAGTATCTAGTACCGTGCTCCGCCCACTCCCGCTGGCTAATCCAAAACCTCCAACACCGAGAGCAAAACCAGGGATGCTGCCTCCACTTGGCTGCGACTGCCATCATCAGAAAAATAGTCAAAAGGTTTATGAACTATATATATAATCACAAAACGAAATGGAAATAATGAAGGGATGAAGTTATAAAGCTCACAATGTTCTCATAAACACAAAATAATAACCACGCAGTAGCGTACCCGTCTTGCTTGACAATGCTTTGCTTTCTCGATTTTGTTCGGAATATCCAAGCCCCATGCTTCTACAAGGCAAGATGTCCAATGACGCCGCCATTAGTGAATGTGGTGAGAATTCACATGGGGATCAAACATGTATCAGGCTGATGCCCCACTGGTTCTGTTCTTGCTATGAAAGCATGAACCTGGACACTAGCTATTAGGCGGGCTCATGCCTTCCAAGCATGAACATAGCACCCGCGGGGCCTGACCCTCAATATGCCGCTGGAACTCGGCTTTTCTATGCAAGCCAAGCTGGCTTGGCATGAACCTGCACAGTGTCAAGGCCAGGTTCATCCCTTCCAAGCATGAACATAGCACCTGTGAGGCCTGACCCTCGATGTCACTGCAACTTGACTTTCCTATGCAAGCATGCTCGCTTGGCATGAAATGAACCTGGACACTAGTATGGTCAGGTTCGATCCTTCAAAGCGTCAACATAACACCAGTGGGACCTGACCCTCAATGCCGCCGCAAGTTTGGCTTTCTTTCTATGGGAACCAAACTCGCTTCGCCACCATTCCCATCCTCCTGGGACCATCAGCACGCTGCAGGTCACAGAATATGAACAGGGCTTCATGACAGATCGTGGTGGCGCTTTGAGTCGACCCCCATGGGAAACCCACAGGGGAATAGGGTCCCTGGACCCAGTGAAACTGTGGGACTCTGAATGCAAATAGGTGCCAGAAAGCAAGTAGAGCTCGAGAGTCGAGTGCTGGATAAATAATCGTTAACAACTTCACTGCAATAGAATGCCTGCCGGCCAGTCGTTATCGATGTACTTCAACATCTGTTTTGGTTCTTTGGTCGGTATGGCTCGGTATGGCCACCTTAGAGAGTAATCTCTAAAGAAGAGTGTCGGTGTTTTTTTCATCAGCTGCTTCTGAAATTTCGGAGGCTCAGGGCTACCAGACCACAATGGCTGGCAGAACCAGCCAGAAAAGAAAAAGGTGTGCCACTGGCAGTTTGGCAAAGCTTGCCACACTGTGCCGCGCCGCCAGGCCCGGGTGTACTGGTGGTTTAAGCAACGCATCTCACTGAAATAGTGAGATGGAAAGAAAGCGGCAAGCCACTCAGTCTTTGTCTTCTTTCAATTCCACTTGGCTTGCTGGATTGACCGATGAACGATGCACCAAACACAGCCAGAATGACCGTGTGTTCTATTCGGGTGAAGACGGTAGTTCGCATTGTTCAAAGAGCAGCTTGCACAAATCCGATCGGACTTCCGACCCCATCCGTTCTGAGGATGCCAACAGAGGGCTTGAAGGTTCAGAACGTAGTTGTCTGGTCAGCAGGGTTGCATACCTGCCGACCGCCGACTCCGACCGCTGATCGTATTGAGGCCGACCAGTAGGGCCGGCCGGTCGGCGGTCTGCCAACCAGTCAGAAAACAACCATCCACTGATTGTTTTTCAAATCTGAGTTNATCGTATTGAGGCCGACCAGTAGGGCCGGCCGGTCGGCGGTCTGCCAACCAGTCAGAAAACAACCATCCACTGATTGTTTTTCAAATCTGAGTTAGTGGCTGTAATGCGCTTGCTGAGTACAGCCCAAATCAGCTGAGAAACTTTTGGGGGTGGCAGGGGGTATGGGGGGGGCGGAGGGGGGGGGGATAGGGGGTATTGGGGGGGGTTATGAGGGGGTTGGGGGCGTTTGGGGGGCTGTATGGGGGTATTGGGGGCCGGTATGGGGGTATTGGGGGCCGGTATGGGGGTCTTGGTGGGGTTATTAAGGGTTCTGAATGCAAAAAAAAAGAAAGCCGACGATCCCCGACCGGTAGGTGCCGACCAGTCAAGGGCCGCCAATTTTTATTTTTTTTTGCGGGGTGCTGACGATCCCCAACCGGTAGGTGCCGACCAGTCCCTCCTACTCCTACATCATCCCAGTCCAAGGCTCCCGTCGATTAGAATCTTAGGGCCCGTAGGATCAGGCGTTGCAGGCCGGTAGTCTACAGTACCGTCTGCTGGTCAGGCAAAAGCCCATAGTGAATGAATTCACAAAGGGTCCTACTGACTCCTACTGCTACATCATCCCATTCCAAGGCTCCCGTCGATTAGAATCTTAGGGCCTGTAGGATCAGGCGTCGCAGGCCGGTAGTCTACAGTACCGTACAGTACCTGTAGGAGCATGTCAAGTTCCCAAAAGTACAATTTTGCAGCAGCCTCACAAGAAAGTTGGGAACTTTCCCAAAATAGCAGTTTGGCAAGGCAGAGGCCAAAGGAGGCCAGTACCGGATTAAAGCAGGCACAAAACAGTCCACTGCAACTATATATCTTGGACTACAGTGCCAAAGGAGTCGGTTGTTCTTTTCGTAAATTCGTGGAAGCACAGCTAGAGCTTGTGCGAAGTAGCGACCTGGACGAAGAATAGCGTTGACGGGAGAAGAAGACCAGCGCCCAATGGCTGCCAAAGACCACCATAGCCAGGAGAGGGAAGACACAGTGCTCGTCGGTCATAACCGCCCGTTTGTTGAGAGGCACGCTGCAGGAGGCATTCAGGGTAGAGCTAGGACATAGGGAAGAGAGGAACAGTAGCGGGGAGCATCAAGGGTGAACAGTGC